TGGAGTGGTGGTCTTTGGAGTGGTGGTCTTTGGAGTGGTGGTCTTTGGAGTGGTGGTCTTTGGAGTGGTGGTCTTTGGAGTGGTGGTGGGCCCACATCTACAGCACTCAACATTGATCTCATAGTTGAGACACATGCGCACGGGCATCCACCCTCCCATCGGCTGCTCTGAGTTTCTGCACACCAGCCCTACATCTTTGTTGCAAGTCACTTCCTGTCCAAGCTGCTGAAGCGGAACGTTGGAGTACAGCACGGCTCTGCAGGAGACGTTGTTCACCTCCCAGCCTGGCTCACAGCTGCCCTCAACCGGTTCAAAGTCTCCACTCCCCATCCCGTAGGAGGGTTTTCCAGAATCCTTCCAGCCCATCCACTTGCATTCTTCAATGCATGTAGTGGAAACTGTTGTGGTGAAGGGGGTAGTCACCGGTGTTGAGGTGGTGGGTGAGGTGCTTGGTGTTGTGGTAGTTGAGGTTCCCGGTGAAGGGGTCGGTGAGGTGGTAGCAGGTGTGGTTGGTGAGCTCTTAGTGGGGGGGGCTGGTGAAGATGTCTGTGAAGTCGTAAATGAAGTCATCAGCGTAGCGGTAGATGAGATGGTGGGTGTGGTCATCGGTGAGGTGGTTGGTAAAACGACTGGTGCGGTAGGAGGCAAGCTTGTTGGTGAAGTGGTAGCTGGGGTAGTCGGCGAAACTGTTGAAGTGATAGGCAAGCTTGATGGTGAAGTAGTAGATGGAGTCAGCGGCGATGTTGTAGGTAGGGTGGTTGGTGAAGAGGTAGGTGGAGTGGTGGATGTGGTCGTTGGTGAAGTCGTAGGTGTGATGGTTGAAGTGGGACAGTATTCCATTGGATAGCAACAGTAGACTCGTATCTCATAGTCATAACAAAGTTCCCATTGTCCAATTCCATACTGCTCTTCATTTTTGCAAATGAGCCCATCTGAGACACTACAGTGTACCTTCTGGCCCAGTTTCTCCCAGCTTTCTTTGGGCTCTGTGGCTGATCTGCACTCAATGTCCTCAGGAACGCTGCAGACATGGGTAAAGTTCTCTCGATCACCACCATTTTCATGGGTAGGATGGTTGTCGTTAATCCAGTCGGACCAGAAGCAGCATGAAATGCCTAGAGAAGTAAATTTACACACAGGCCATTAGTGCTTGAGAGAGACTGGGGTGATTCGGAGTCCTCAGCGAGCTCTGCACCTCACAGATACACGTGACCACCCTCCCATCATCACCAAGGAGCCAGGTTGATGGGGTCAGAGTTCAGAATAGACCCATTTCCACCTTTTGGCGGCCAAAAGACTGATGCTAAGAGGGAAGGAGCCACCAGGCCATGTCTAGGTGGGACATACCTGTGGCCCCAGCTCAGTACCCCTCCTTGTCAGTGCTGAATCTCTGTGAGGGGGGAAGACTAACAAGAGAGCCATTCCCAAGAAAGAGTGTGAAAGGGGCTGTTTCTCTTCCTGACAAGAACATGGTCATTCACACAGGTCCCACCTCCGTGTCCAGGGACTTGCAAACAGTAAATAAATACAATAATACAGTAAGCACAATGGATACAATCCTCAAGCAGTAAGTGTAGCCTGTCCTCAACACCTGCTTCCGAAGGAAGCCCAGGAGTCATTTTGAAAGATATAATGTTGTTTTTTTCCTTTTGAGCCCTACTTATCACGGGAAAGTATCGTCAACGTCACTTACGAGGAGTTGTTGCTGGAACTTCAATCAAGAAAAAAAAAAAAAAAGGAGGATATTACTGCACAATATGAGACTTTTTTAAAAAGCCTAGTCTTTCTGCCCAGCCCTGCACAGCCTGGAACTCCAAATATACCATAGGCCTCAAACTCATGGCAATCATCCCGCTTCTTCCTCCTCAGAGGCGGTTGTAAGTGTGCACCGCCACGCTCAGCCTGCATTGTGTGTGTGCGTCTGTGGGTGCGCGTTTGTGTGTGTACACCTGTACACGTGTGTATGTAGATGTGCATACGTGAGTGCGGGGACCAGAGGACAGTCTCCAGTGTCATCCTCGAGAATGCCACCTACCTCCTTTCAGACAAGGTCTGCCATTGGCCTGGAACTTGCCAATGAAGCTATACCTGACTAACAGTGAGCCCCAAGAATCCTGCTGTCTCCGTGTCCCCCACAGTGGGATTACAAATGTGAACCCCCATGCCTGGCATTTGTTCACGGGCTCTGGGTATCAAACCTACGGCCCCACGCTTGTGAAGCAAGTGCTTTGCCAACTGACCAAGCTCAGCCCAGGTCCTCAAACGTTCTCCCCTGTGTCTGTCATACCCCTGACCGCTCACTCATCATAGATGGGATTTGAACTGGAGCAAATGCAGGGGGAAGTAAGGAAATTCCCTAGTTCAGAGAAATGTCAATACTACCTAAATTCCCAGTTGATTTGCAGAATGGAGGCTGTATGCACAGACCTGGCTCTGGCCCCCAGAAGAGCTCTCTATGCTGGATTCTCACAACAGCAAAGGCCCCAGAAAAACTCTCACCTGTGGTGGGGGTCATCGTGACGGTGGTGGTAGGAGTGGTGGTGGTGGAGATGGGGGTGGTGGAGATGGGGGTGGTGGAGATGGGGGTGGAGATGGGAGTGGTGGAGATGGGGGTGGTGGAGATGGGGATGGTGGAGATGGGGGTGGTGGAGATGGGAGTGGTGGAGATGGGGATGGTGGAGATGGGGGTGGTGGAGATGGGAGTGGTGGAGATGGGGGTGGTGGAGATGGGGGTGGTGGAGATGGGGGT